CAAAATTAATTTATTCTTACAAGTGATCTTAAGAGTTAAGGTAACTTATGTTAATCTAATGTACTTGATTAAAAAAAATTAAATTTTTTAGAGGCCAAAGCCCCTACTTGCATTTTACATTTTTTTTTTTTTTTAGTCAACACTCTAAATTAATTTTTATTTCAATCAACACACTTCATAATTTGAAACTTGTAAAAAGCCTCAAATTACCAACAAAATCATGATGTAGATAGGAGGTTTGACCATAAAATCAAGGTACAAATAAAGGGTTTAACTATTAATTTTTAGGTTTTTCATAGGTTTTGAATAATGAAGATGAAAATTAATTTAAAATATTAACCATAAAACAAAAAAATATGTAAAGTGTAAACAGGAGCTCAGCCTTTTTAGATACTAACTCTAAAATTTAGATACTAAACTTTATATATAATACCGTTATTTTTTATTAGTTGATCTAATTCAATCTATGGCAGTAGCCCTATCAGCTGAAATTGCAACATGCATATAGTCAAAAGAACACAAATCAAAATAAGGGAGCAACCTCCAAATTGAAATTACAACAGGTGCAAACCTTATCAAAATAAGAGAACACCTCAGCAACACTAGTAGAGTGTGAGATCGTGCAGACAGCCTTCTGAACCTCGGCAAGGTCACCTCCAGGAACATCAGTGGTTGGCTTGTAGTTAATAACACATTTGAACCCAGTTTGGACACCAATCAACAAACAGAATGGTCCTCTTGGTCTTGATTGTAGCAACAGTAGCGTTGACATCCTTGGGCACATCACCATGCTACATTACATCAAACAGCAGGCCATATACTTACCACAGCATGGGTCATACTTGGCCATCATAGAAGAGGGTTCAAAGGCACTGTCGGTGATTTCAGCCACAGAGAGTTACTTATGATAGCCCTTCTCTGCAGAGATGACAGCTGCAAATGAGGAAAGGATGAAGTGGATTATGGGGGTGTGGGACCAAGGTGGTCTGGAATTCAGTTATATCCACATTCAAGGCACCATCAAACCTTAGAGAGGCAGTCAATAAAGAAATAGCCTGAATCACATAAAGAAAATGGTTAGAGCTACCATTTTAGTCAAATTATTAATATTTCACAAAACCAAAGAAATATCCATTTATACAATGTCAGCTAAGAAAAGAGATACCTGAGAAACAAGACAGTTCAGGTTGGTGTAGATGGATCGCTCAATGTTGAGAGAGCCTTTGCAGATATCAGAGATGGCCTCATTGTCGAGAAGAACAGCAACATCAGTGTGTTCCAGGAGTGAGTTAAAAGGACACTGTTGTAGGGCTCAACAACAGATGTGGCGACTTGGGGAGACGGGTAGACAGTGAAACCCAGCTCTAACTTCTTGCCAGAGTCTACAGACAAACGCTCCAAAAGCAGAGAGCCAAGACCGGACCCAGTTCCTTCGCCAACAGCATTGAAGACAAGGAATCCGTAGAGACCAGTGCAGTTATCTGCCAGCTTCCTGATGCGGTCCAAGCAGAGATCAACAATTCCTTGCCAACTGAAAACAATCAAACAAGTGTTAAGATAAACCTAACCAGCATCAAAAAACTGATGCTGCAAAAGCAAATAATTAGAAAATAAAGATCAATGCTTACTGGAGTAGTGGCCACGGGCAAAATTGTTGGCAGCATCTTCCTTGCCACTGATGAGCTGCTCGGGGTGGAAGAGCTAGCGGTAGGTACCAGTCCTCACTTCATCAATAACAGTGGCCTCAAGATCAACAAAGACAGCGCAAGGGACGTGCTTTCCGACACCAGTTTCACTAAAAAGGGTGTTGAAGGCAGCATCATCTCCACTGATGGTCTTGTCACTTGCATCTCGCCATCAGGCTGTAGACAAAATCCACAATTCTCTAGCACACTTCCAGCAAACTTGAATATCCTCGATAAATAATTTTAATTATATATAACTTTTCAAAGCAATAAAACTGAAGTTTTTTCAAACAAATCCATCAATAACAAATGAAGTCAAAGTCTTATTTCTTATAATTAATTTGAATGTAACATAAAAAAAAAAAAAAAGCAAATTCAACAGATCTAACAATTTAGCAAACATAATTCCATAAGAAACACCACACCTGGCCTTTTCGGCTAGTGGCTTTGCCACCTTGAAAGGTGCACCCTCAGCCCCTTGCACTAGGTTCGATTCCTCACCCCCAATTTATAATCTGTTCAAAAAAAAAAAAAAAAATTCCATAAGAAACACCAATATAGTAAATCCATGACAAATACATAGATTTGCAGAAAAAAGGAAACAGAGATTTACGTCATTAAACACGATAATCTTAGCTCCAATCGAGAAATAAAATAAGCACCTCAGAGAATTTGATGAATCAAAAAATGGCAAGAAAACACACGGATCTTAAACATTACAGGGAAATGAGAACAAAATGCAAATCTGAAACCAAACCAAAAAGGAAGCTAGAGCAAACAGATCCAAAAACACACTTGTTAGAGAAATGAAGATCTAGGAAAGGTGAGAGAGATACGGACCTAGATTCCATGTTCGAGACAGCAGAGCTTCCAGCAGGCCTTTCCGACCTGAATACCGGTCTGACCGATGTGCATCGAGATGTTCTCTCTCATTTTCACTTGTTGAAACTTGAAAGTCGAAGAACTATGAAAATCAAATAGATTAGAGAAGAAAAAACAACGGCATTTATCGAGACGCCTTCTGGAAGTAGCAAGAGAGAAGATACGGATAAGTGGGAGAAGGGACGGCAGGGGTATTTATATTTGAAAGTAGAGGGACATGACAGATAATTTAAAAGGGTGAGAGTCAGTCCCTTATGGTGGAGATCACTCTTGTGAGTGCAGGAGTTTGAATCCTAAAGGTTAGCATGCCCTCACCCAAAAATGGATACTAAAGTAAATATCAATGTAATAGTCACACCATCACTGCCCCTTCAATTTCCGGCCATCAAATAGTTTTTGCGAGCCGGGGTTCTTGAAAACGATGGTGTACATGCCGGAAGAGGTGATTGGTAAGAACGGTAGGGTGTTTCAGTTCAGTGTCAGAGGACCAATAAGAATGGTAATGCCTTTCCTCGCAGTGGTTTTTTATTTTTACAGTTTGTGTTGAGTGCCTGTTTTTCCTTGTCCATGTCCATTATCGGTTTGATCTCAGCTCGTCAAATTCTTCATCTTTTCATGTTTTATAACTAAGGTTTATATAGAAGCTATAAGAGCAGCTATCCTTTCTTGAGCTGAGGGTTGGGAAGTTGGGCAACATCAGACTTACAGGATGTTTGTAGCTGAAATGAGGATGTTTGTGGATGTGTTGTCATGCTAGAAAATATAAGATGAGGAATTCGTACAGAGGTTGAGGTAGCACCAATGAGGACAAGTTAAAAGAAGGATAGTGTAGCTGGTTTGGCAACGTGTGGCATAGATTTAGGGATGCTCTTTATGTAAGATTGAGGTGACATATCTAGGATTTAGCAGGGGAAGAGGTGGGCCAAAGATTAACAACGGATCAAATGGCAAGAAAGGCTCTAGCTCTTTAGGATCTTCCCCAAAGAATGGTACCTGATTGGGTGGAATGGAGTCAAAGTATTTATCCAACTGGTACGAAGTAGTTTGAGCTTAAGGTTAGCTCAGTTGAGTTGTCCCCAATCTTTAGTAATATGCGAAGGGTAGTTCACTCTGTGCTCACTGCATGGTTCATGGTTGTAACCACCCTTTGTTGATAACATTGTCTATTAATTGGGATTTTTCTAATGGTCAGTGAGTTGCTCTTCTGTCAAATGTAGCTTCTTTATTGCTAATGTGTTTCTATATATGGTTATCATTATCAGATTTTTGGGGAGGAGTTCTTATTTTCCAATTCCATATTTACAGGATTGGATGTTGAAGGGCATTGTGAAGCAAGTGGTTTAGAGAAGCAAAGAGCTAGAGCTGCCAGTAATAGTGTCCTTTCTGTGCTCTCACCCACTAAGTGAGTTGACTGGAAGACTGGTCTGAGAGAAGAGATGTAGCTTTGTTGGGGCAGGCTTCATCAGTTCATCACTAAATATATCACTTGGTAGAATCAAACAAAGCTTTGTATTGTGAGTTTTTGGAAAATTCCTAGTTTCATTGTTTTAGAGTAGATATGGCATGCAGTTGTGCTAAGATATATTTCTGATGTGTTTGGTTTGTGTCTCCATCATTTTTGTGCTGCCTTGAAAACCAATCTACATTTACCTGACATGCCTATAATTTACACAAGTGATCCTTCTTAAAATTGAAAGGTACTCAGAGCTTTATCAAATTTACACTCTCAAGTGTTTTATATTTAATGCCATATATGACTTAATTAAGGATAGAAAGATTTAGATCTTCTTATTTAAAAATATACTCAACACAAGCATTTTATGCAGCTGCTTACTTTTCTCCTTTGCTTCTATAGGTTATGCAAGACATGAAGTATGAGGTCACAACTGCACAGATTCTTGTAAAAGGGAAGGTGCTAAATTGTTTTCTCCTGACATTCTCACTGCATTACCTAGGCTAGATGGCTAAATGATGAAAATTTTTGTTAACTTGCAAACTTGGATACGTAATGAACTGTTAGTTGAAAGTCATTCACAAGCAACTGCATTTTCAATTTAATTCTGTAATGATGCTGACTTAAACCAGCCCATAGTTCTTGAATGGAACCAATCTCAATGCCTTCAATTAAATCACAGAGACCTTCTCTGCAAGAAGCTTTATGGTAACTCGCAAGGGGTAAATAGCCTTATTGTAGCCTTTATCTCCCGCTATTGCTCCTGGCCTCAGATTTACTGTCTTTAATTTTATGGAATGATCTACAGAGTATTGGAAAAAGATTTAAAAGTAATGGCATGCTTCCCGTCTTCATTAAAGTGATCATATTGATGCAGGGAACATATGTATGTAAGCCTTGTTGCCATCACAATTTAAAAAAGAAAAAAAAATTTAATGATCAATCTTTGAACTAAAAAATGATAGGCCAAGGATAGCTGTTCATATGATATGAATACAAGTTTTTTAAGTTATCCCTGATAGCATATATGCTTGAAGAATTTGAGTCTAGGCATTTACTGGAGTTTTGGCTTCTTTGCTTTTACTTTCCACCTTCAATAGAACTGACCTTTTTTATTAGATACTTAGCATTCTTTCCCTTTCATCCTCCACAAATACAATAAGGTTGTGTATGCTCCTGGTTTTCGGAACGGATGTAGGATTTAGAAATGCATCTTTTAGGTTGCGTATTAGGTAGATACAAGAATCCAAAAGTCTCCTACATGCTAGTAATAGGAGTTTACATGAAGAGAAGAGACTATTAACTTATTCTGAAATTCATAGTTGTAGAACATAAATCTACCCATTCTTGAGCATATTAAGTGATCATCTTCTTATTTGTGCTTGTCTAAATCAAGTCATCTTGTCTAAGGTGAAAAAACCTATCGTTCAAAATAAGAAGCCTAGAGCTGCTTATGATACTTTTCCTGATATTCCAGGATGACTGACAGCTTATGTCTTCTTTTTTCTTTTTTTCTTTTTTTTTTTCTTCTTTGGACCAATGGCTACATTTTTCTTAATTCTGTATTTCGAAATAGCTAATCAATACAATACCATATGTTTTTTCAGAATGGACATGCACAACACTTCAATGGATGATGATGTAATGAAATCATGGTCCTTGTTATTACCATGGGGAGGACCTTGCTAACACACCAAAGTGTAGCATGATTATATATAGCCTACAGTTCTTCCAGCTAGAATATGCAGTATTACCAATACAGCCACGCAGGTCAGCAGTTGGTTTGGCTACACATGATCGAGTGTTGTCAACCTTTGTGCTCCAGTAATTTTTAGTTTTCTTGGTTTTTTCGATGAATTAGTTAGTAAATTTGGTTGTTGTGTGAGTCATCTTAAAGCCATGGTCCAGTTGCAAATATAAGTTAATGACTCAAGTAGGTAACTGGGAATTGGGATATCGCTTTAGTTGTTTCCTTTAATTATTGATTCTCTCTGCTTCGGAATTCCTCAAAACTTATGGCATATCATTTTTCGTTGGTCTAATTTTATCTCAGACTGTGATCATAATTGGTTTAGATGGCATTCTTCATGGGAGTTCAGACTGCAATAAGACCCAAGACAGACATGGTCTGAGCCCAGCGATGAGACAACTTGGTGCTGTTGGCGCAGCAAAGGTTGCAGTAAGGAGTTTATGAAAGACTGCTGGGTGTTCCTACTCATAACGGCTATTGCCTTCTTTCCTTACATATTGCTAACCTTTCTGCGCTATGAAAGCCAGCCATTGCAAGCCACAGTTGTAATCTCATCTTGAAGTAGTTGAAATAAGAAGTTATGCATACATCCAATGTTGAAACAGAAACTGTTCCATTATTCATGGCACTGGTTAACACAATAACCAATTACCACCAGTACAGTTAAGTCTATGATTATAGAACAAGTCTTGCTTACAGGACAATAGCTAGATCATCCTCACCCTTTCTCAGGTCCCTAAGCATGCAATGTCTAAGTTTTGTACACACAAAGGGCATCCATTTGGGTATGTTGGATCTATCATATGCATACTTGTGCGACACATAGCTACTTGTATTAAGCTACTTGTTTGCTCCCGAACCTCTGTACTTGTATTTGCAGGCCCAGAAAAGATAGTGCAAGAAATTCAATCCGCTCAGCACGCACATCAGCCAGTAGAATCGCTCGAGATGATAATGATTTATGTTGCCACCGGAAAGCCATGGATGGTGACCGGACTTCCCTGTGACGTTATTCACGATGGACACAATCACGGAGCTCAAATAGTACCCCATTGCCAGTGATGCCCATGAGAGGGAAGTAGCCAGAGACCTCATGCTCGCGGGCGCCTCCGTGAAGAAGAACTCCAACAACCCCGCCAGGGTGAACAAATCTGCTGACCCCAGGAACAAGTATTGCAAGGCGATCCAGAAGAAGGTAATTGGTAAGGGATTGGCTGAGTCGAGGAGGCCTGAGTCAGTTGCGACCCTCTTCCGCTTGATCTCCACGACGGCTGCTACTGCCATGGTTATTATGGAAAGGACTAATCCGGTCCCAATTCGTTGGAGGTGAGTGATTCCCATTTCCGATTTGGTTAGTTTACGAGCAAATGGGATTATAAAGTGGTCGTAGACGGGGGCGAGGATCATGATGAAGAGGATGGGGAAGGATGGGAGGGAGGCGGGGGGGACTTTGAGGGAGCCGAGGTTGGTGTTCATGGTGGCGGCTTGTTCGACGGAGAATGTGGAGAGCTGGGCAAGGCAGCAGTTCAGCATGATGGTACACGTGAAGATGGGGAGCATTTTTAGGACTATTTTGACTTCTTCTACTTGCTGGACGGTGCATTGGAGGGCGGAATGAGCTGGTTTGGTGGCCACCGCTCTGTTCAGGAATCGGAGAGATTCGGAAGGAGTTTGAGGCGGTGGACGATCGGTTTCATTGGCGTTTTCTGCTGATTCCTTTGTGTTCTCCTGTGGACACGAAGGGCTTGCGGTGAGGTTCGCTATGGCGTTGCTTGGGCTTGTGTTCAGACAGGGGTTCATTGTTGCGGCAACCAAAACCTGTTCAATTTACGAATTCCATTGTGTCAATTCGTCACTTAATTGAAAACATTAAAAGTTTGGTATCCAAATTAAAAGCTTAACTAAAATTCAAGTGTGTTGTTTTGCAATCCAGATGGTAAAATGTGAGCTATGGGGTTGGATAAGAGGTCATACTTACAGTCCCATACTCATCCAATGGCCTACTTTTTGCATTTTGATTTGATATAGTTTAAGGTTTTTCTAATATAGCATTTTGAAAAAATAAATATTAATCTTTAATTTCATTATTTGTTTAACTAAATTTATTTATATAACAATAATTTTGAAATTAATATTAATTTTTATATTTTTTATATAAATTTATAATAAAAAATATTCTTTTAACTTATATTCTAAAAAACATAAATTAATTAAATACCTCATTTTAAACTGTAAAATTTTTAGGTTTGAAGTGATTATATCACTTACCTTAATAATTGTTGTGAAGGGACTGCCAAAAGGAATTTTGTTCCGGTAAAAAGGAGATCCGGTAAGGAAGATTGGGATCGACAACAATATTGCTACGGTGGAGATCCCGAACCCCCAAACCCATCCTTTGTTGTCCTCAATCCAGACCACAAACGTTACGGCTATGAGGCCACCGAAGGAAAGACAGAAGACAAAGTAGTTGAAGAAGGTTGATCTTTGCTTCCTCTTCTCCGGAGTACCCTCGTCGAATTGTTCTGCGCCATGTGCAGGTAGGGATCCCTTTATCCCTCCGACACCGAGTGCCACAAGATAGAGGCCGATGTATAGCATTGCGGCCTGTGCACCGGATGGTTCTTGGCATGGAATGTTGGGGTTGGTTGGGTCGCATGATGGGGGCTTTAGGGAAGATGAGCGAGCTTGCACCGTCAGTATTACCAAGCCCTGTTTTGATGAGAAGTACGTTAACTTACCACATAATAAAATTTGAAAGGCAAAGTAAACTAAATGCGTAAAATTCAAAAAAAAAAAAAAAAAAAAAAAAAAGAAAGGAAGAAAGTAATAATGTAAAGCAAAGTTATTTTTCAAACAATTTCAATTGACACATCAGGTTTTGATTATGATCATTAATATTTTTTTATTTTGTTAAATTATTTATTTGTTCATTCAATTTAAGGGACAAATATATTTTTAAAATTTAACTTTATATTCGTTACTTGAATTGAATAGACAAACAAATAATTTAACAAAATTAAAAAAAAAATGTTAATGACTTTAACAATTGTATTGGTAGACACATGATGAAACCAATACACTTCTAACATAATAACTTGCTAGTAATAATTAATGTTTATATCTATTTATGAATTATATTAAAATTTTTCTTTTAGTGTGAGATTGAAGGCATTATAACTCATATAAACAAGTTCAACTGTAAGTTATAGTTTGGTTGTATTGTTAACTAATTGAATTAGCTTAGCCAAGTTGACATGTGCACACGTTAACTTGTTTTTATGGATGCTTAATGATCAAAATGAACCGACCTAAAATGGCCATAAACGTTACATTTAGCATTCTATGGTCTAATTTAGGTGAAAAAGTTGAAAAAAGAAAAACCTAAAATTTTGCGTCGACATTTTTATGCATAATAGGTTAATCTTTTAAATCGAAATGCAAATTCCATTTCATTGAACACCCTTTAAGGTGCACGTGACGGGCCGCTCGAAAGAACATGACGGGTTGGAAAGTCTCACCATGTGCTACGAAAGGAGAAGATTTATAGATTCACAGCTTATATAATCAGCTAACGTTAACTTGTTTTTATGGATGCTTAATGATCATACCTTTTGGTATATTAAAAGTTAATTGTAATACGTAAATCTTTTATT